GGAGAGAAATCTTTCGGAGGGCCAAAAGTATTTGGACCAGAGTCAGGTTTGAACCTGCAACGTCTGCATCAAGGCCAGTCTCTTTTCTGGTGAAAAACTGGTGACGTGGTATGGGTTTAACGCCACTATCAACACTTTAGGTTATTTAAGAGGTGGGACCTCCGAGTTTAACGTCCATCTCCGAAAGAATCGAGCCAAATGGGAATTTCGTGTAATATACCTTCCCAAGGACACAACGTCGGACCGAGTTGAGGCTCGAACCCCCGAACCCGCAACCACACGATTACGAGTCCGGTTGCCTAACCACTATGCCTCCGACGCCCCTTTCCACTTGAGACACAGCAGTGAGTTGATTGACATCTCGTGTATCTATAGGACTGAGTTGTTGTAATTTGTTGTGGTGTCGGTGGCCTAGTGGTTAGACTACCGGATTTGTAATCGTGAGGATGCAGGTTCGGGGGTTCAAGCCGCGAGCCCGACGTTGTGTTCTTGGGAAAGGCACTTTACACAGCTTTTCCTCACTTCACCCTGGTGGGAATGGGTACCCGGCCATAGACAGCGAAAGATCTTGTCAGTGTGTAGTTTTTAGCGCCTATAAATGTCTGCTTGCACTGTATGCTTCTCTGGAAGTTGAAGTTGTTTCAGAATGCTCTCGGATCTGCTGTATAGATTGTGAAGCGCATAGAGCTTGCTGTTGAGTGGGGATTTGCGCTATACAAAGGATATCTATTTTTATTATTATCAATTTCCTCCATGCTCTCATCATCAGGGGAGATACGAGCTAAGGATCGACATGACGTACAAAGGGAAATACTACTATGCCAGGTATGAGAGTTTCTTGCTTTACGGAGAAGCAAAACAATACAAAATTGAAATATCCGGCTTTTCTGGTAATGTAGTGGACAAGATGGCGTACCACAACGGCCAGGCGTTCTCCACCAAGGACCGGGACAACGACCCATCAGACGGCAGCTGCGCCGAGAAGTGGCACGGAGCCTGGTGGTACAAAACCTGCCATCACGTCAACCTCAACGGAGTCTGGGGCAGCACAGAATTCGCCAAAGGTGTCAACTGGAAGAGTGTGACGGGATGGGAAGATTCGGTCTCATTCAGCGAGATGAAAATCCGACCACTTTCTCATTGACGTCTCTTGTGCAGTTGCAGGCGCCGTTAAAACTTTACTAAAACTAAAACTAAACCAATAGACATTTTCATGACAGCGAATACTCCGTCACTTTATAGTGAAATTAGAAATTTACAATCTTTTGTTTTTGGTAGAAGAAAAAGAAACACTCTGATTGAACAGCTTAAACATACCAAGGATGAGAAACTGTATTTTTTTTCATCGTCTCAGGTCAAGGAACGAACTTTTGAAACTGATGACTCTTATGAAAATAGATCTATGATGACTATTATTTATATTTCTCCGATTTCCCAAAGTATGGATCAATACGCTTTACGTGATGTGCTTGAAAACATTTTTTTTTTTCATCAAGCAGACCTGCAGTCACATTATGTGTACTTAAATATTATGCATTGAACATATTATGTACATAAATGACATACATAAAAGACACAATACAAAAAGACATATCTACATAAAAGAAAGTACAATTGATTTGGGGAAAAGGGGGGGGGGGAGTGCAGTTGCGTGATTGATAAAATACGACGTATACGTTTCTGATGTAATCTTCGACACAGTTTTCACGAAATAGTACACATCTACTTGGTGTTTGAGAAATGGGATAATTCCATCTGTAATAATAGTATGTGAGGCAGCGTGGTGGAATCAGGCTCTCGTCAATTTGGGGCTTTTAGCGTTATTGGTATCCTCTAGGAGCTTGTTCACTGGTCTTTAATTTAGATGAAAAAAACATCCATTTATATAGGATACAAGTCAAGATATTTGCGAAAGAAGGGGGTGGGGATAACCTGGTTTAAGAAGTAAAATTAGCGAGAAAATGGCCGCCAAAGCATGGTAAATTCCAAAGATGGAGTGTCCATGGAAACTGCAAATTTATATTTTTTGTTCCTTTAATCAACGTTTATCGGTGAAATCCTCCAAGGAATGTGTTTTTAAATGGACATAAAAGGTGTTGAGCCAACAAGGAAACATTTGATAAAAATTGCTAAGCAGGGAAAAACTGCTGTTTACTTCGATTTTATTATTTTGACGAGAGCATCCTGATTCCACAACGCTGCCTCACATGTCAATTCATTAAAGCAACTGCCTGTCTAACCTAATGTTTGATAATGAATGCAATCAGAACTCTTAAACCTACCATTTTAATGGTAGTAAGCAACGGTATGTTAGGATTTTGCACAACTTTATAATGAACACACTCTTATGTTTACGTAATATTCATACAAACACATA